TTGTATTCATATATGGTCAGCAAACTGTAGAGAGTGCTTCCAAACAAGACATGAAATCTTGCATGTGTGCACTTCTGAAAAGCAGCGTGTAATCTTGGCTGTACTGAAGTTAACTGCAAAACTCCCATTAACTTCAGTAGGGCCAAGATTTCACCCAGGTTCTGGTTGTCCAAAGCTGCATTCGGATTGAGATCTTCATAGTTAAGAACTCCTCCTCCTCCCCCCCCCCCATTTGTTTTAATTGAGCTGTTTAGATCCAGGTTGTTGTGGCATTTGAAGAAAAGGGACCAGGGCTAGCTTGAGTGAACCGTTCACTGACGGGAAGCTCAGTACAAGAAAGAACTAGAAGTCCGTTGACTTCTCATGTGACTCATTAGTGCAAAAAACATTCAGGGATTGGGAAAACATATAGCCACTCCAGAAATAAGTGTTAGTGTCAAGTTTATAAGCAGATAAGCTGACACAGTGTGTATAGTTTGAAATAAAATATTGCAGATAGAGGAGGGGGGAAAAAAGTAGAAGCATTTTAATTTGAGACCCGATTGGGGACATTTTAGAATTTTTTTATGTATACTTTTATCTGAGCAATTTATTTTTCATGCATGTCTAAACTTAAAAGCATGCACAGTTAACTATCTGGCAAGTGTAGTCACTGGTTACTAGCATTAGGGGCTTTTAGCCATTAGAAAGACAAACCAACAGAGCAAGAGAACTTTGAAGGTATCTCTAAAACGTTGTTAATTTTAAAAATGTAAAGTTACATAGAGTCTTTATAAGAAGCTCAGTGATGTCAGGAATATGACCTCAAGAAAATTATCGTTGTGTTAATTTTAAATAACATCACCCTTGCTATCATCAAGCAGTTGGGAGATGAAGACTTATAGCTAGTGCCTGTTTATGTACAGATAGAAGAAGTCCGAGAAGTAATGGAGAGTGAAATGAGGACCCAGCTCCGCAGGCAGGCAGCTGCTCACACGGATCACCTAAGAGATGTTCTGAAGATCCAAGAACAGGAACTCAAACTGGAGTTTCAGCAGGTGAGGGAGGGGAGATCTATAATGAAATGGCCAGGGACTACATGGCATGGTATCTAGTTTGTGAAAGCCTTGGGAGATGCACATCACGTAAGGGTACCACTGGACAGCAGTCTTACAAATGCATCCTTCAGTACACTTTAATGCAGGCCATAGAATGAAGCCAATTATACTGAAAGGGGATGGAATACACAAACTCTTTGATCACTTCAGATTCTATTCCTTTTAATCTTTTTGATGGAAGAGGATTTGCTGATACTAAACAGCAAGTGCAATAGTATTTGGCTCTACTCTCAAGTTAGGGTGCCTGATTGCCAGGGCGATGTTGTATTTACTATAATGTGCGTTGTCTTTGGAAGGCATACAATAAACTGATCGGTGGTATTGTGTTCTAAAGGGTATAATTTTGATCTCTCTCCATGAAGTATTTGTTTACAGTGGTACTAGATTTATGTTAAGTTTCTTGTTTCAGAGCTTGTCTGAGAAGCTCAGTGAACAGGAAATGCAATTCAAACGCCTTACTCAGGAACAACTTGACAACTTCACTTTGGATATCAACACAGCCTATGCCCGGCTGAAAGGAATTGAGCAGGCAGTGGAGAGTGAGTACTGGAAAATGGGGCAGAAACATTTTGTAATGACTGTGATGTACCAGAGCACAATCCAGACTAGTGGGGCACTGTGTCACCCCTACCCTGCGCTCTTGGGTGCCTTGCAATACCTTGCTGTAGTAGTTCCTGCCTGGGCTGCTCACAAACAGCCTTCCAGCATGCTGGCCATATCCTCCGTGTTTGTGTTACCATAGCCTGCCAGCTACACCCTGGCTTTCACCAGGCTTGATTCTACTGCAGGGTGACCCCAACACCTCCCCCAGTCCCGGATCAGATCTTCCTCTAGAAAGGTTTATCCTTTACTGCCCAGCCCTTTCCTGGACAGCACAACTATATTAAGTCTGTTATTCCTTGAAGGCAATAATATGCCATCTTATTTTAAATGGAGTTACCCAGGCACTTCAACTTAAAAACACTGGATTAGATGAAACAGTAAAAGTAGTTTATTAACTACAAAGAGATTTTGAATGAGTATAAGTGAGGAGGCACAAAAGTCAGAAATGGTTACAAGAAAAAAAAGGTAAAACATTTACTAGGATCTACTTAAGAAACAATCTGGGTTGCAAAGCAAACCTTCTCACCACATGCTCCAGTAGATTACTGACCAAACTTTCAGGTCTGAACCCCTCCCCCACAGTCCAATGGCTGTTTTCCTTTTGTCAGGTGCGGAGAATGCGGTGGGGTGGGGGGTGGGGTTTGTCCCACGGGGTGTTTGTCCCTTCTTTTTATAGTTTCTCTCCTCTTGAAAATCCTTTCCAGCTGAGACCCGGGAGTCAGTCTATGTGGAAGACTATTCCCTACTGGGGTTTTATTTTTCACCTGTTTGAACTTCCTTTGTTTTCCCTCCCTGCTTGATGACGTTTATCACTTAAATGCAAAGTAAGGCAAGCACACATTCCTTCTTTTGTTTAGGACAGACCTGACTTCTGTCTGGTCAGGGCTGTGGGGTTTGGAACGTGTGTTTATTATACAGGGGAATCTTATAACTTCACATACAATGTTGCCACACATATTTTACCAGGACAATACTGACGTGCAAACTGTAAGGTATCATTTGAAAACTCGTCAGGAATACTCTGTAGAAAGATTCTTACAGTAGTGTGTAGGGTATGAACAGAGGGGTTTATTCCATGACAGTGACCCAAGATTGATGCCTAAGGACATATTGGCCACATAACTAAGTGACCTGTTTTTCCTAACGTGCTGAGCACTTCTGCCCTAGTGAGCCAATTCAAAGAGAATATAACCCTCTGCCAAAGTGTACTTGTGGAGAAGTAGCTCTCCTGCTTTTGAAGTGGCCGGCTTTCTCTAGACAGCTCGGGATAATAGCAGGTTTTGCACACCTCACTTCAGCAGTCAGACCCAATATTGTCCTGAACTGCTGTTAAGCCAGCCCATCCCACACCTCCAAAAGTAGATTGTGCTGTCTTTGAAAGTAAACTGATTCATGGGAAAGGGAACTAGCTTGTGCTTGTTAATGTGTTAAACTGGCCTATGAGGGTGCAGTTACTTTATAGTTACTTTACCTTGATGTGGCAGTTATATTGGGGGTGTGTGTCAATGTCAGTCTACGAAAACCTCCTTTCTGGGTTTATTCTGCAGGCCACGCAGTTGCTGAAGAAGAAGCCAGAAAGGCACATCAGTTGTGGCTTTCAGTTGAGGCTTTAAAATACAGTATGAAGACTGCATCTGGGGATAGTCCCACTGAACCATTGGAGTGTGCAGTTCAGGCCGTCAAAGCCAGCTGTTCTGACAATGCATTTACTGAAGCCTTAGTCTCAGCTCTCCCCCAAGAATCTTTGACCCGGGGAGTCTATAGTGAAGAGGCACTCAGAGCACGTTTCTATGCAGTCCAAAAACTGGCAAAAAGAGTGGCTATGATCGATGAAACCAGAAACAGCTTGTATCAGTACTTGCTCTCTTACCTACAGTCGCTTCTCCTGTTTCATCCTCCGCAACTGAAACCACCTGCTGAGCTCAGCCCTGAAGATCTGGACACATTTAAATTACTATCCTATGCTTCATATTGCATTGAACATGGAGATCTAGAGCTGGCAGCTAAATTTGTCAACCAGCTGAAAGGGGAATCTAGGAGAGTGGCACAGGATTGGCTGACTGAAGCTCGAATGACCCTGGAAACAAAACAAGTAGTGGATATCCTGACTGCATATGCCAGTGCAGTGGGATTAGGAACAACGCAAGTGGATTGATCTAGGCTAGGGATCTAGGATTATACTTTTGGAAGCAGTCTAATGCAGCAGAATTGTTTAAGTGCTGGGAAAAAATCAAATGATCTGTAAAGGGTTTGCAAACCAGGACCTTGAAAGGGGTAGAAAGAGTTATGTCTCAAACCACGGGTACTGTCCTGTCTCCTTGCACTGAGCTGTTGTATTTGTATTGGTTTCAGTTGTTATCATGACAGCAACCTTCAGGATGCTTTCTCTGCAACTTGTATAGCCATTTTGTTTCCAAGTTGTACTGATTGGGCTTGTGATCCAGCCAAAATAATGTTTGTAACCCACCATTATTGATTTGCCAGTTGGTGTCGTTGAATAAAACAAGATGTAAAACCCATGTCTCTTCTATTCAATTCTCTTGCTTAAATCTGTTACCAAATCCAAACAAGGGGCAAAAGCAGAAAGTTTCTATCAGTTCTCATAGGCACATAGGAGATTGCAGCATCTAACTGTACCAGAGCAGATCAGTGATGCAGGAGTTGGTATTAGTGGCCTGAAGCTGATGGTGGCAAACAGCTGCCACATCTCTCGGTAACTGTTAGTATATATTCTTGTTCTCACTGTAGGAATTTAAATTTATACCATCACTAGCCCTTGCCTTTTACCCTACATAGTATAACTGCTGATGCTTTGTATTTTAAATCCTTGAGTTAGTGCCAGGCTATGTACATAATCTAGAACTAAAATATCTTTGTGCTTGGGCAGTTCAAAACAAGCATCCTCTCACTATGTAAGGAGATACTTTAATTTAGTAGTCTGTTAAACAGCATGGTCTGTAGTTAGGACAGGAAGCTTCCAGATGTGTGCATAGTATTATCATTATCAATTGGTTTAACCAGAAAACATCTTGAAAAATATTGGATTAAAACTCATCCTGTGCCTCTGTCATGATAGATATTAAGTATGGATCAAACACACGAAACAGACATTCAGACTTGCAAGAAAATTCTGCTAGGTTTCCTGAATGCCTCCCTGTTCTGCATGTTCAGGACTCATTAGTGGTAAGAAACTTTCCTCCCTATATTTCACTTTGAAGTGTAATGTTAGTCTGGGTAGAATGTATCAGCTCTCTTTAACTTACCTAGAACCAACCACATTCATCAGTATCATGCAAGGTGTCCCAAACAAACTACATATATTTATTTACAAAACATACAACAGATTTAGACCGCTTACTGTATTTCAGTTCCAACATGGAAGATAGCGAAGTAGACCTGTTCAAGCCTTTATTTACCCTTATTCTATATGAACTAGTTCAAACACATCAATTTCCCCTTTAGTTCTGGCATGTTTTATTATACATTTCTGTATGGTTAACTTTGCCTAGTGCTTTAAAAATCAAAACACCTAGAAGTAGGATATTTACCTAGAACAGATATCTACAACCCTATCATAATAAATTCACATCCCCATATGAGCATTTCAATTCTCACCAACAAAAGTTGCTATTTACTGCTTCAGCTTCAAACATTTGGAAAGGTTTTTGTAGGCCCAGCAGTACTCCTATAGGAAAATCCCAGTTACACTGACTTACATGAACCAAAGAGCAGTGGCTGAATGATATAGTAGCAATCCAAGCTACTACTGCAACACTAGCTATATCCTCATGGTTGACCGATGTAAAGGCCAGCCATTCCTGTCACTGGCTGAGACAAAGTTAGAAACAACTGACTTGTTCCTTGCACTATTTTTTGTTTAGTCTAGCTGTAAATATGGCAATGGAGGACAGGAAGAAAGAATAGAGCTGCCCTCCTTTTGCTTAATCTAATCAAGTGTGACATGGCAGAGACTCTTCCTATGTCTGTCCAGTTTTCCTCTTATCCCCCTTACTTGTAATTAGTGTGTTTAGGCTATTCAAATTGTTGTAGAGGTGCATCTTCCCCTACTCCCTCTTAACTGTCACACTTCACTTTTAATCCTGCACTCAAACCCTTTTCTCTTTTCTGCTATTGCATGGTCAGTAGTGGATACATGGGAACTGCTTTAGTGTAGGAAGGAAGTACTGCTGAGCTTAACCTTTGCTATGCTGGTAGCTACGGAAGTGATCAAAAGGATGTTACAATGAAAAGAATTGATTAATTTGTGCCTTGAGGTTCTCCATACTACCCAACTGTGATCCTCTTCAATGAAAAGATTCATCTGAGAAGGCTGATTAAAAGACTGACAAACTCCCTCTTCCCACAGTGGAGCCTGGGAGGTTAAACTCTAGCCTTTGGTGTGGGTGTGTTAGGGACAACAATCCTAGTGGTATCAGTTAAAGGGAACTATCAAGATTTTCAAGGCAGCACTGCCCATGCATGCTAGAAGACAAGGTCAGTGTAGGCCTTTGCTGGAGGGTAGAAGCAGCATCTTTGAGTACAGCAGCCATGTACATTTTAAGGTGAGAATCACACCCCCAGGTTGCAGGGTAGCTGGAGCCTTATAGGCTCACAGTAGAGCAGCTGTCACAGTTCTGGCCTCTGGCCCCAAAGCCCATTCCTGAACCCAAGAGGGGTTTGGTACCATAAGCAAGTCCCTGGAGGAGTCTTCATAGATCAGCTCCATTGTGCTGCAGAGTAACTTATAACACTTAATAGACTGATTGCACAGGGCTGATAATGTTTCATGTAAGACAGTGAAACAGTAATTAAGGCTGTTTAAATTCACAGACTAAGTCAACAGAAAACAGGTAAGGTTCATGTAGATGTGGTCTAGTTCATAGCTGTATGTCTCTTCTCTAACCCCTGGACAAGTCACTAGGGGAGCATTTAACAGGGAAGAGCTTCCATCATCTCTTAGCTGGTTTGAGGATAGTGGTGGGAGGAGAGGTATTGCTGCAAGCAGAACAATACAAGCCTCTTATTCCTAGCGTCCTTTGGTCTGTCACGTCCAATGGAAGGAGAGGTGAGACATCATGAGTGCAGCTTTCCAAAGCAGCCCACACAGGCCATAGTAGTGAGAAACTGCTCCCATTCTTTGTTTCACAGGGAAAGCTAGAGAAACAGCTCCTAGTCGCTGTCGCTATCACTGCTTTGGGGATCAGCATGTTCCAGAGCCTTCCTGGGGAAAAAAGGTTCAATTTAACAGAGTTGAAACCCACTTGTGACACCGTTACAGAAAGGACAGTTCAGTGCACAGTATGCTACCACCACATTACGCCTCCACATATCCATGCTCCCTTCCAGAGGGAAATGAAGGAGACCACCCACTCCTAAGACTCATTTTGTAGCAGGAGAAGCAGGCTGGAATAGGAGCCAGACTAGATTGGGTTTCAAGAATAATTTCAGTTCTGCAATGCAACTTTCAGAGTAATGGTTTCCTCTCCTTCAGAGTCCTAAGGGTGACACTGATTTTTAGCTGCTCCAGTAGTTTTTTCAGATACAAGTCTTAGAGAGAATGTGGCCTTTTAAATGTCTCGCGTTTAAGAAACTAAGTCGACAAAGCCCACTGAAAGCATTATCTACTGGTAACATCTCCGGTTCACTGAGAGAAGACAGCATGTATTTTCAGATGTGGCTTGGGTGCCCAACGAGACACCATGTTCAGAGGTTGGGTACTCAGCACTACCTGATAAATTAGTTCCTTTTAAAGATAGTTTTACACTGGGCACCCAAAAAATCACTAGTCCCGTAAGCCCCCCCCCCCCTTTTTTTGGAGGGGGTTACTCTGACTAGACACAAAAGGGCCAGATTTTTATAAAGTCATTTAGGCAACTAAAGATGTAGACAAAGTCTCACAAAGGTGTATATCTGCAGCTATAGGTGCCCAAAGTGCCATCAAATGCCGCTTCACTATATCTCTGTTCAGTTTCCCCTGGTTTTGAGGATCCGTCTCTCAGCAACAGGGAAAAAGCGTTTTTGTTGTTTTTAAATGAAGTTTTATTATAACTACACACAAGCCGGAGACTCACTAAAACTTGAAATCTAATCACCTTAGTGAAGAAAGGTGCTAAGTTAGCAGTGTTAGGAGTAGAGCCTGGGATTAACATTAAGGTTTTCTGCAAGTGAGGCGGACTGGAGAGAAGGTTACAGCAGAGCTGTGTGTGGCATTCTGAAACCCAACTCTCCTGTAAGCCATTCGCAGAGAGGGACACAGATTTTCCTAGTTACTGCTGACAGTGGATATGGAACAACAAATACATAAAACAATCCATCTTACTTCTGCTCTTCAGACAGTTCAAACTCCTCTATCACCCTCCTTGCAAGCTTTGCAGTTGTAGGTAGACTGAAGGCAGCGGCCAACTTCACTAGCTCAACCGCCTTATCTGGAGCGTTGCTTTGTTTAGTGCAGGTCAAGACCTCGTTCATCACCTTGTCGCTACAAGTGAGAAGCAAAGAGTGAATGCTCTGCAGAGCCAGAATGCCTGGGTTGGGAAGGAATACGCTGAGCTCCAGGGTGGGGTGTCCACAGCACACACAAGCCCTCCGTAATTAACTTCACTTGCTGAGTTTCAACGCTTAGGAGATTTTCAGAAGTGTTCAGTCGGGCCTAATTGCTCTCCCTGAAATCAGTGGGAGTTTTAGCTTTGCCTTTAACGCAAGCAGTTAGGGAGGGCATTTTCAGAAGTGTTGGCCTAACTGAGGAACACACATTACTATACATGCAACAATGTGCGGAACCTCCCCCCCCCCCCCCGCCCCAGGCTGGGCTCGACCTCTCAGTGGTAGAGACAGAGGTACAGGAGCTTAGTGGCGTTATTTTTGAGCCCTGTTTAGAGATTGTTCTCACAGCCAGCCCCTCTCCCATTAGAGGAGTTGGAGCATCCTGCTTGAACGATACCAGAGGCACTGCTCAGAGTGGAGCCCTCTAAACTGACAGGCAGAGCCCTAGTCTCTTGTAGGGAGCTGCCTGTAAGAGGAAAGAAGGGGTAGGGGGGAAATTTGCCTTCTCTGCCTTCCCCAACAAGCTCAGCATGGAGGCACAAAACAGCTGGTTACAGCTCTGTTACTTCTGTAAAGGTACCGGTCTGGCAGGTGGCTGGGCAGACTCCCTCCTCTCCTGCTGGACGTTCGACTTGTTGCTGATAGGGAAGATGAGCTGGGGAGAAGCGTCTGCAGCAGCTACCAGAGAGATGAGTAGGACAAGGGGGTGCAGCTGGGCCACTTAAACCAAAGGAGCCTTTTCCTGTTCTACTGGCAGCTCTCAAGAAGCACCTTCCCTCCCATCACATTCAGAGCTGGTGGCCACTGAGGACTAACAGCCATGCTGAAAACTTCAGAATTCCCCTCCCTCCCCTCAGCACAGATTCCTGCTGGGGCTCTGACTTCGCACATCAGCTTGGGGGATTTCACTAGTGCAAGTGCTTTGAGATGTACATATGCAGGTGTGTGCATATTAAACACACATATCTAGGCAGGCTGGCTGTAATTACCAGAACTGATGCTTGGCCAGGACACCAGGGCCAACACACAGACTCCCATTGTAAGTATCAGCACACACCCCAATACTTTTCTGAGGTAAAGATCACACTGGTTTAAATGTGTTAATTTCTCTTAGGAGTTAAAATTTCTACTTTTAAATTAAGCTTCTTTCTAGAGCTTCTCAAAAGGTAACTAAAACCCCCCACTCTGGTCAGTTTCACTTTGAATGCTCTACCAAACATTTACCAACTGTAAAGTGATCAGTTCAGGAGCTGGTGTGATCTGAAGAACTCCAGCAGGAGCACCTATTGCTTTCAACTAGAGGGTCAAACGCTAAGTATGCTAAAATGTAAGACCATCAATCTTAACATAAGAATGGCCATTCTGGGTCAGACCAATGTGTCAACTAGCCCAGTATTCTGTTTTCTGACAGTGGCCAATGCCAGGTGCTTCAGAGGAATGAACAGAACAGGACAGTTTATCAAGTGATCCATTCCCTGTTGCCCATTCCCAGCTTCTGGCAAACAGAGGCTAGGGACACTTCAGGGTGATGTTGGTTGGGAGAGTCTCAGAGGAGCTGCTCTTGGTCTCTAGTGGAGAGTTAATCTGGCCCCACACTGACCTGTTGGGCTTGTTCGGCAACACACTTTGAGTTGTTAAGCCCATTCAATTATTTTATTACCCCATATCTCAAGAGTCTGACACAAGTGGGGGAAAAAGTCACAGCACCAGAATTTTAAAGTCTCAAGGATCTCACTCAAAACTGCCCCTTGACCATGTCCTGGGGCACAAAGAGCTCTCAGCACAGGTTTTATACTGGGTGAATGAAGAAACCCCTCACCGATCACCAGGGAGGCCAACACCCAAATGAAAAGTATCCAATTTAGGAGTTCTCTTAGGAAGTGAAGGTGTGAAAAATCACAGACTGCTACTGTCACCTAGAAACACAATGCAAGACCTCAACCAAAGTAGTGTGAGAGATCTGCCACCTGACATCGGACCACTAAATGAACTCACCTGGGGACTCTCTTGTTTTTTTTGAAAAGCTCCAGCACGTTCCTGTTTGAAGACGAAGAAAAAAAACAACAACTGAGGTTATAATGTCAGTCTCATTAAGGAAGGAGTGTCTTTGGTATACACATTTTGAAATATTCACTGATTTTATCTGCAGACTAAAATGATTAATTTATGTCTACCTTAGTCTTCAATATAGTAAGAAAAATGTCACTGCAGACATATATGCTGAGTGTGCACTTAAAAATAACCCCTTTCGCTTGAAAAAAAATTCAAACAGATGTAAATGTACAACTTTATATAAAGGCACCCACCTCCTGGTCTGTTCCCAAATGTACTGATCCAAGTGAATCAATGGGAGATTTGACTTGGGAGTTGGATCAGACCCCAAAATTGGGGACTGGACATTTGAAGCAACAACATTATTTTGAATTGAACCTCTTTATTATGGCAAAGTTAGAAGTCTTCCCCAAAAAAAAAAAATTTTTTTTTTTTTTTTTAAATAAAGTGCTCACAGACCCTAGGTTTTTTTGGTGCATTTACAAGATATCTGGCAGCATAAAGCATTTTGCATGTAAGCGAGTAGGCTATGAGTAGGATACTATGCCAGTCTGTGATTAAAATCTGAATTGGAGATATCAAGGATGCAAGCAGGACAAGAATTCATAGCAGCCACACACTTACCAGGCTTCTTGGATACTCCCCACCCTTGAGAACAGTATGGCAATGTTACCCAGAGCACTCGCTGTCCACTCTAAGGGGACCTGGTTCCTCTCTTGAGTTTCAAATATAGATTTGATATCTGCAGCACAGTTGGCAAATGACATTTGAGTCTGTGAAGAGATTACTCTATTAGCACCCAAACATCTGTAACTTGTGGGGGCATCTTGTTTACCAGTGAATTGTCTACCACACTTTCAGAATCAGAAAACATACCTCTTTTATAGGAAGACAGCTCCACCAGAAAGCTCTCAACTGGACGATTTTTAAACACCACAGCAACTGTAAGTCACTGTATACTAAGGCAAGAAAGGGGAATACTACCAGGTGACGTTCGGAAAGCTGCAGCAAGCTGCTTCACATTAAACCACTGGGGCCAGGCATGTTATGAGCATCTACGTTTGCACATTTTTTAAAAATAATCTCAATGGAGGAGATTTTCAAAAGGCACAAATGGCAGTTATGCATTTCAATCTCCGTGAACATCAGTGAGAGTTATGGAGCTAAATGTCATCTGTCCCCCGCCCAGTGAAAAACAGCTTCTCTCAGTAAGTCAGTTGTATATAATCTGTAGATTCCTCGATCTTACGATTTTTGAGTTATCTTGAGTCAAGTTCATTCCTGGTTTAACTCCACTGAAGTCAATGGAGTTATACCAAGAGGATGGAATTTGGCTGCTCATCTCTACAAATTCAGAGATGACAAACCCAGATAGAGGCCAATTTCATTCTAGGAGAGAGATCTATTCTTTGTGCATGGTCAGATATGGAGCCTGAACCCCTTTCCATTTAGAAGAGAATGAGTTGCTCGCAGGGCGTTCTTGTGAGGGGCCCACCCAGGTATTGGAATTCACTCCCCTCTCCCACCCTGGTCCCCAACAGGTCTAATGTACTGATTGTCAGGGCATGCTGCAAAGCCCACCTTTTTTGAGGATGGAGGCGCATGTTGAAAGCTGAAGCGGGTTTTGGGAGGATGCTGAGCTTATTTGCCATATAGTGAAACCTCAAATTAATAAAGGCACCTAGAACCCTTAATAGGAACTTTAGATTAATCTAAATATATAGGTTTGTGTTATTTGTGATCTCTATGCAGTGAATGGAAATCTAGGATTCTCTCTACATGACGGTTCTAGTTACTCTAATACTTTGCACTTAGTGTTAACCCCCCCCACCCCTGGACAGTAAAGTCAGGGTGACACTTTCACCCTCACTGATCACTTCATGAGCCTCACCTCCTGAGGGTGTATCTCCCGGGCCATCAGAGCCAACACCTCCTCCAACAGTTCGGGTCTTTTGCTAAGCTCAATCTGTTTGATCTCTGATTGAAGAAAGAGAGTGGTTAGCAATGGAGCCATTACTGCATTGGACACCCAACATTCCCTCCCAAGGAGCAAGCAGGACAATTTTTAATAGTACATTTAAGGAGCAGCTCAGATGTAGGCACCATTCTCATGTAAATGTTCTCACTTTTCCCACCACACGCAGGACAAAAACATTTACATTCAGCTCCCATAATGCAGCTGAGGTCCGTACCCCTGCGCCAATCATCATTGCTGATTTAAAGGGAGAACCATGTATTTTCCCCTTCAATGAATAGTTCCACTAGTTGTACAACCTCTGTTGTCCACCCTCCCTTTAACCACCATCCTAAGATGTCCTGATGTTGCACTGCGAGGCTATCATGGCTGTGAGCCTGTGTTCTGAAGATCCAAGCAGGACAAACATCACAGCATCATGATATTGTACTGCAATAGTTTGTGGCTCTCACCGTGGAGGCATTTAAGTGGCTCTCCAAGGACTAGTATGCTGCCTTACCCCTTTATCAGGTGAGCTGTATGGTCAAGCCTTAGGTTACTATAGTCAACCAAGAAACTAAGCTACCACTAACCTTTCCAAATCTGAGGGACCATTTCCAAATGGTTGGCTGTGTCCAATGCTTGAAGGAGATCCCACATTACTTGAGCATTTGGGTAGAAGAGCTGATGAACAGAGACAGCAGTTTAGCCTGGTATGATTGCCTTGCTCTCCCAGATTTATATCGTAAGCACTAATGCTGCCCAGATACATGGAAATACCATCTTACCGAAGGGACCAGTTCTTTATACCACTTGAATATGACATCGAGTTGTTCCATCATACACACCAGAGTAAAGAACTTTGTACTGCAGAAAAGAGAAAAAAATGTAGGCTATCAGAACTCAGTAGTAATTAGATTGGCTGAAATGGATAGAAGCAGGACCCGTAAATAGCAATGATCAGATCTGAATGAAGTAACATTTCCATGACTAGCACTAAATTGGACATTAAACACCATCAGTTTTGAAGAAGCAATGTTTTTGGTGGGTGTGACCCTAAGAACCCTCAATGCCATCTAGCAAAGCGTTCACTGTTCTGTAACAGCAACTCCTATCAGGCCTGACAAACTCACTACACCTAACACACTGCTCTCATAGTATTTACCCAGAAAGGGTCGTGAGTTGTCTAATGGAAGCTTATGTCATACTTATCCTCCTAATCATTGTGTGATGTATGGTTTTGTCAGACAAAGAGACGTGGAATCCACCCTGTCTCTGATGGAAATTAAGCCAACACAAAGCAAGCCCAATTTGCATGAAAAGTCAACAGGAATAACAGATTGTTGAGGGGAGAGAAGGAGAGGTGAACTCAACACGGGAGAGCACCTCGGGGAGTCATCTGACTCTGTGAACAAAAACAATGGATTTGGGGGCACCAGAACCCCTCCTGCACTCGAAGGGGTAACCAGGCAGCGTGGCTGCATTCATGAAAACAGGATCTAACCAACCTACGCTGAAATACTGCAGAAAAGGCTTAGGTGAGATGAGACGACTTTAGACAAGGATTGTTTGCAGGGTTTTTGTAGTTGTGCTGGTTCCAGGACAAGAGAAAAGGGAAAAGGTAGGTGAGATAATCTTTTATTGTACCAACTTCTGTTGGCGAAAGAGACAAGCTTTCAAGCTCCCAGAGCTCTTCTTCAGGTCTTTACACAAGGACTGCAGCCTGTTAAGTGTCAGTCTCTAGAAAGAATGTTACAACTTTTGCTTTAGTTGTATTATAAACTGAAAGGACTAATGGATCCCAGAGAACATGGCTAGGCTAGAAGGTTTGATGCATGTTGTTTTATGGTAACAAACTACACCTAGAAGGGGAGTGGTACTGTCAAGAACATCACATGTGCTGGTTTGATCAGAGACCAAAGGTAAACTGAGACAGTGGATAGGCCAGACATAAGACTGGGTGAGCCCTTGCCTCACCAAGAGTTTTTATGCTTCCTCTATTCTGGCCATGAAAACGTGCTGGGTGAAAAGACAGAACTAATTTTCCTATAATGTAAGTGGAGCTGTTTAGGGGAAGTGATTTCAAAACACTGAATCTGATGTCCTTTCAAAATTATTTATTCTCCACATTTAGTCTGCTAGCAGTTATGGATCTTAATCAGCCTCCTGTATATTTTAAAAAGCTTTCATTTTACTGTTAGATGAAAACCACAAGTAAGCTATCTCTACTCCTACTCAAAAGGATAGACTTAAAAAGTTATCTATATTCTAGCTGATGCTCAAGAAAGTCTCCTTCTGCATAAAGAATAGTTCAATTTTCAAATCCTAATTTATTAAATATTGGTTTATGTTTATGTAAAATGAGGACAGTGTTCTTAATGCATTAATGGTATTAAATGTAGCTGCACGAAACTTACCAATAGAAAGACTGTTTCTGTGCATCTCCTATAAGTTTCCAGTTGTCTCCTGTCTCCAGTACCTTATGTAATCTATATGCAAGCGCAACATCCTTAAGACTGAAGCACTGCAATAAACAAATGCACATTTAAGTTGCTCAAATACAACACTTACATCGCATCCTTCTATGCATGGCTTCAGCGCTATTTACAGAGTCAATCAGCTGATAGTGAAAGGAAAGTTTAAAGATAAGATGTGAAGAAGCAATTCAGTGTAGTGATCAATTAACTGTTTCCTTGACCTAAAACAAATCACTTTGGCTGGCGTCACTTAAGGGCAAGTTAAACAAGTGGGTGTGTGCGGATTTTTGGACAGTGTCGAAGTGATCAGAAAACACGGTGGGACAGAGAAATACCGGGAAAAAAACAAAACAAAACAAAACAAAAACCGTATCCCTTTATCTGTATTGCATGCTGGCAGTTGCCTAGAGCATGGCAGATGGATTACTGATTCAGTGACTGACAGGGGAGGAAGAGCATTTCAGACTGGGAGGTACAAATGAAACAGTGGGGAAATGAAAGACTACTGGAGGCAGCCAAGGCTGGTGGAACTGAATGAGCAAGGAAGGCAAATAGTTGAAGCTAGTCTGTACAGTAGGTCTGGAATACCCAGAGGCAATTCTAAACTAGATTTATAAGCCTACAGGAAGGCAATGAAATAGAGGAACTCGTTCAAAGTGTTAAATACGAGCAATGAATACTTACTATTCGCATCGCATTGACAAAGAACTTGTCTGAAAGGAAAAAAAAATCCAGTCCATTAATGTCTAGTTTTGAGAAATACTAACCCCCCCCCCTCTAACAGGGTTTCACACGAGATGGAAGAGGCTTTTCCTGTTATACAGAAGCCTTTGTAGTTAAGTAGCTGGGACTCCTGTATTACACTTTTAGACTCAGGCTAGAGATCTGTTCAGCTAGCTAGCTTTTAGGAGAAAGATCTCTGCAGAGGACTCCATATTCAGGAGTAGGGCAGCTTTGTGAAAGCTACATTCACTTGTTTGCTTCAGGACAGTATTTTCAGAGTCAGGCCAGTAAGAAGAGCCACCTGCTTCCCATCTCTAGAGCCTCCAGGAACACATATGTAAAGGCAGTCACTTGCCCAGACTCCTTTCTTCCCCTTTCCTGGGGTACACACTAGAGCAGTGTTTCTCAAATGCGGCCACCGTGGCCGCATGCAGCCACCAGGGGCTTTTCTTGCGGCCACAGCCTCCTGGGCTGTGATGTGGGGGAGGGCAAAGTAGAGCCCCCTCCGCCTCCCTCCTGGATGCTGGGGCTAGCAGCAGGGGTTTGGCCCTGCCCCTCTCTGGAGTCACCTGGGACACAACACTGTAGGAGCAGGCAGGCAGCAAGTTCCCCACTTTCTCATGGGTGGCGGGGCTCAGGCTTTGGGCTTCAACCCTGGGGTGGCAGGCTCTGTCCGTGGGGCTTCAGGCTCCAGCCCTTGGCTCTGGCTGCGCAGTGGCAGGCCCCAGGCTCCGGCCACATGGCTTCAGGCTGTCCCTGGACCTCGTCTTCCGGCCGCGGGGCTTTGGGCTCTGGCCACAGGGCTTCAGGCTCCAGCCCCCCACTGCCTTCCTCAGCCCCATCTCTCCTGGCCCCCACTGCCTCCCCCAACCCTCCATCCATGGTTTAATTTGTCCCCAGGCTTGCCAGGGCTGATTAAGTCTGCTGTGAAAAGTGATACTTGTATGTTTGTTAATATCACTTTTCACAACAGACTTACTAGCTAGCAATAAATACATTACAATGCTTTGGATGTGTATATGTTCATATTTATTGGTTAGCTTTAGGATAAGCTAAGTGTTTTAGGAAAAAGTGAGATAGCGGCCACAAGCAAGAGTTGGTGGCCGCAATCTGAGGCCACCAAAAATTTTGTCCTGAGAACCCCCTGCACTAGAGCATGTACAACAGTTGCCTCCTCCCCCTTTGCCTACATCCTTATCCACTCTTCATCACTAACAGACTCCTAAAGTAGCAAGGAAACCACTCCCCTTCCACCTCTGATAAATGGGGAAGCCACTGGAGAGGGGAAAACCATTCAGTCAGGGAGTATGGAGAAGAGCAACAGCTGTGCAGACCATCTGTGCATGGGCTGGAGAAGTCTTCCTGGCAGTTTTTAAAAACAAGTTTAATGTAAGATTGTGCAGTTTGTGCTCTAAATTCAGGTAGTGACTGAAATCATGGCTGTATGTGGACAGCAATATGGATGAAAGAATCTAACTGAATTGCCTTTGGGAGTTGTATTAGGCTCACTGTGGCAAGGCATTGAAGAGTTACGATGCCTTTTTAGGATAGAGAAGTACCATCCTGCTATTAAAATGTTTAGACTATCCACCAGCTATCTGCATTATAACATACAAATCCTTTGGGATACAAAGTCAAGATCTTGCAGAGAACATTTTAAATTGCTGTGTGGTTTACAAGGGCAAGAGTGAATATATATACACTGCAATGCATTCCAAAGGGGCAAGACTCCATTTTAGTGGAAGTGCTAAGTTTAGAGGAATGGCTGGAAGTCTCCAAAAATAAGCTGAGAAATATTATGCACCGGAGAAGTGTAAGAACGATTTGTTGTTGGTTTTTTAAGAGTTTAATTAAAACAGCTCAGACTAGGCACAAGTCTCATGTAAATATTCTCAGATGCCCCACTACATGCAGGACAGAGAAACATTTACATTCAGCTCCCATGATTCAGCTGAGGTCTGTACCCCTGCGCCAATCATCATTGCCTTATTCAAAAGTGATATTTCTTTTGTGATTCCAAAGGAACATTAAGAGCAGTATGGAAGAGTCAGAAAAGTGCTAGTTTTTGTTCAGCTACATGGTCTTTTCCTTCAGTGATCATTACTAGCATTTCACTCAGTCTATACCATGTCTGATATGAATGAGTGTACTGAGTAGCTCTAAATGTGAAGTAAGACCATCCTTATGGTCTAGCCACAGTGCATTAGGCTGCCACACAGCAGTCAGTTTGGGATGAGACTCTGTGTCCTTAGTTCCTGGGACACCATGAATGGAAGGGTCACAATCCCCGCAGGAAAAGCATCTGTCTGGGTCACTCTGTGAGTCCCCTGCAACCAACATAAGGAGCTGTGCTGAAAGACAGCAGAAGCAGTGTGGGGAGTGGAGTGAAAAACCAGTGTAGAAGGGCCAACACTTTAATGTAAAACATTAAGGGCTTGTCTGCACTTAACACACTGCAGCTGCGTTGATGTAATGCTTCAGTGTAGACACTGCCTATGCTGATGGCAGGGGTTCTCCCACTGGTGCAGGTAATCCACCTCCCTGAGAATTCTTCCATCGACCTAGCACAGTCTACATGGGGACTTCGGTCAGCTTCGCTACGCTGCTCAGGTGTGAGGATTTTTCACACCCCGGAGTGACATAGCTGAGCGGATATAATTTTCTAGGGTAGATCAGCCCTAAGACTAAGAGGAGAAAATGTGGCAGACAGATCATCTGCAGATTAGTTTTCCAGGGTGAAGAAAGTTTCTAGCAGAGTAGCCTAGTGGACTACTAAACATGTAGCAATCCACATTTGTCAGAAACACACTTGTTGAGGCAAATATAGTAAAGTACTAGTTTCTTTTCTACAGCACATGCTTCAAAATCTAATTTTAGAACTAATTTGTTCAGCCCATCTGACATTTCCATTCACTGATCAAATTTGCCCAGTACAGCAATAGCAACAAGACACCTGGGACATTCTGAATCTTTGCCCCTCCTCACCTATCACAAACTAGAGTTGTTTGAAGTACTGCTTTCCACTAGGCTTCATTTTATACAATTTTATACTAGTCACACAGTTCTGCAATCAAAACCCATCTAATATCAAGGAATGCAGTGACTTTCTGGAAATGCTAGCAGACATTCTTCTCCAGAAGTGTGCGGTGCTGCTCCACCGCTTGCTCCTCTCGATACTATCCCACAAGAAAGGAAATGCTGTGTCAATACTGTGGAGCACCTTCAAGACAGCTGGTGTTTTGTGCTCCACCCCATCAACAAATACTGTACTATATTTAGTCAGAGGTGGACAAATTAGTAAGCTACTAGCTCAGGATACCCTTAATTTATCTATGCCTGCTGGACTTATTTGCAGTTCACTGGACAGCTCGCCCGCGTTTATTACATCAGAAGAGAGAGCAAGTTGTTAGATATACCAAATTACTTACCATCGTCTGGATCCCGAGCAACAAAAGTCTTTCCTTCAATTTCATCCATCACTTCATAGAGGAGTTCCATTGAGCCTGGGGCAGATATGACAGCATGACAAACATATATACAACTTTCAGATCTCCGTTGTGTTACACAGTTCATTGACAGGGTATGTCTAGCAAAAGCACCATGGAAATGGAACCAGGTGTTGGGACTCTGAAGGCAGCTCAAGTAACAGTTCTTTTTTCTCCCTCTCACCATGGTTTTGCTGCTCCAAATCAGCTGCAGTTTTGTTTAAATTAAAAGTTGCCCAACTGACATTGGATTTACATAACACAACAGGATGGCTTCAGAAATGTAGACATTTCCTAAAAGACCAATTCAAGACCCCTACCCAAAGGCCAAGCAAACAGAACTTAAGGGCAGGGGATTTGCCACACCGGTTGATGGGATGAGCAGACAAAATCCAACCCACTCAACCACAGATACCAGTGCAGCTGTCCCACAAACATTATTACAGCCTGTGAACTGTAGTAGTGACCACTGCAATCTTTCCTTCCCCACCCTCAGGGATTTTGGCTAGTGGACCATGTGGTGGTGGATTCCACAGGTCAGACCTCTGCCTTTCTCCCACCCATGCTACACAGAGTACCATATACAGCACTGTTCCCGAGTAGCAGGGGATGCAGAGTCCCTCTGCCCTGCCTATCCCATGTCCAGTGTAGTGCTGTGTTTAGGGCTTGCAATAGTGTAGGATTTTCCGACTAATGCATGATCATAACCCAATCTTCTATTTGCTGATCTCCATGTGGAAAGCGTATCTCTTCTGTCCCCACAGAAAGTTCGCCAGAGAGAAGAAGCCTCCCCTCCTTAACACAGGATAGGAGCCCCCTTAGCTTTTTCTAATGAGCTATTTGGGCAACGCAACAATCAGAGAGGCAATGCACATGATCCTTGCAAGATAGCTGCATGGCATGACAGTATTTTCAAATCATCAGACTGCTGCTTTCATCCAAGCCACTTTTAGGCACTCAGAACAGTTCGTAACTAAGACACTGAGCAAGTTTATATTGTACGTACCGGATTTATAAAATATATCAAGGAGATGTTCAAATGTTGCAAGGCTGGGTTCTGCAATGTACAAAGACACTGAAGTGAGCCTGGTAAATGGAGGTAGGCAAAGCTTTACAACTGAACTCTAAAGTAACAGCAAAGAGACACTGCATAAAGAAATTTCATATTTTGTCTATTAATACCTGTGTATCTGCTAAAGATTTATTAATAGCAAAGGTTTCTCAGAGACTGAAAAATAAATAAATAAATAAAACTAACATGGACCTAGAGATGACATTAACATATTATTTTACCTCTTCAATCAGTGGAGTAAAAGAAACCATATTTAGAACTTGTGTAGTTAATAGTCCATTTGACTATTCCTAACACACACGGAATCCTATGTTACACATTACAGATGTACAATTATTCATAGATTAAGACCTGAAGGGACCCACTGCTCATCTAGTCTGATCTGTTTCAGTCAGTAATTCTTGCATCAAGCCCACAACTTCTGGTTAAAATAGAGCATTTCTTTTAGAAAGACACCAGTCTTGTTTTAAAGATTTCATGGGATACAGACTCCACGTCTCTGGAAAAACTGTTAATAACTATTTACCCTCACTGTTGAACATACATTCAAACTAGAAATAAGGTGCATCGAGCTTCAGCTTTGAGCAAGTCTATATCATTTTGCCTTTTTCTGCTAGATTCACATGCCAGTTATCAGAATCTTCTTCCCACATAGGCACTTAGACCATGAGCATGTCACCTCTGAACCTTTTCTCAGGTAAACTAAATAGATTCAGCTTAGGTCTCACTGTGAAACAGGATTTTCCAGTCCTCAAATCAGTCCTGTAGCTTTTTCCCAGCATCCTTTTTGAAGTGCTAAGTGAATCTCATTTAAAAAAAAAAAAAAGCAGATTTGTTTAACACGACCTCCTTTTCTATCAAACCACATTGCTACAACATTAGTTCTTGTTTGTCTGCATTATTTTTACAAGTTAGTTTATAAGCAAACCAAGAGGCATTAAAACCCGAACTGCAGGAACTTCTGCAAAGATCTGAAAACTGTAATCTGAAATAAAGCATACTTATAGTATAGTAGCATCTTACGGCCCCAGTTTAGATCAGAGCCCATGCACTGTACAAACACATAGCAAGAGAAAATTCTTTCCCTGAAAAATGTAGAATCTATCTAATAATTATGGATAACTGTATTATATAGGTTACAGAGTGGTGCAAATTTCCCCTAATTTGTTTATTTACAAATGACACTTGCCTGAACCAGCGTGAGGCTTGATCCTGCAATCTTTACAAGCCCCAAACTCTCACGGGCTTCCAAGATTACAGAATTGAAGCCCCTGGTTTTAAACATGCAAAGCAGTATTCCTGGCACACGTCACAAAGTTTTAAACTCTCAGAAGCTTGTCTTTCTTTGGTCAAGCCTATGATATATTAATCATTTGTACAGTACTTTACAATTAAGAATTAAGACTGGAATGGGACTCATGAGAGTCAGGTTCAATTCCAGGCTCTGACACTGATTTGCCAGGTTACTTTACCTCTGTGCCACAGTTTCCCTCATCTGTAAAATGAAGATAATTATACTGACTAGCTTTGTAAAGCACTTTGAGATCTATGGAGGAAAAGCTTTATGTAAGAGACAGGCATAACTAAATTATGCCCTGCCTCAAAACTCCTCCGGCCATCACCCTAAAGTTTGCTATTTTGGAAGTACCATTAGGAATATCTAATAGAGTCTAGGGCTCTCTCTTACCTATGTTAAGTGCTTTCATTTCCCTCAGTATCTTTAGGGAGATACTCTTGCCCACACCACCACATTTCCTCAGGGTCTTCAAAACAGCATTAAAAGTTAACAGATTTGGTTGCACCTTCTGTTGAACCATGTGCTTCAGCAAGTCCTATACCAAGAAAAAAAGATAAATAAAACCACACTGCTCTGCATTTTACTCACCACAATTCAGCACTTCTATAGAATTGCAGGTGTCTCCCCTGTCTTTATATTTCTGTTCCTCAGCCAGTGGATGATTTTTTTTTTTTTTAAATTAATGGAGATATCCCATCTCCTAGAACTGGAAGGGACCTTGAAAGGTCATCGAGTCCAGCCCCCTGCCTTCACTAGCAGGACCAAGTACTGATTTTGCCCCAGATCCCCAAGTGGCCCCCTCAAGGATTGAACTCACAACCCTGGGTTTAGCAGGCCAATGCTCAAACCACTGAGCTATCCCTCCCCCTGTACATTTACTAACGTATTATCTAGTCTTGGTTTAGATTTCCCAAATTATGGGGCTGCGATAAATTTTCTTGGGTGACTATTCCAATCTAATAGATCTCAGCTAAAAAGTTTTTCTGATACTCATCTTAATTTTCCTTCTGGATAGCATCCCGTTAGTCAAAACCAGACCCTCTTATGTTATCCCAAATAATTTCATCTCCCTCCATAGTTTTTATTCCTTTCATATATTTGTAGACAAATTCAGTGCAGAACTTTTAGAATGCTTGCTCACATTCCATCTTAATTCCATACCCATTGCATTGATTGGCTATTTCCTAAAGGACACACAAATCCCTCGCAAAACAATATGAGGATTTTTTTTTGCGCCACTGTTCTACAAAAATTAGTATTAAACTGGAGTACTTTCTCTGCAAGCACTAATTATATTAGCACCTCATTAGAAAGCTTTTATTTCTAGTATTATTCAAAACACACTTTCATTTACTTCAAACAAAACCCGCCTCCAGCCTCTTCCCTCCCTCATCCCTTTCTCCTTACTTCAACAAGTTCCCATCTTTCAATGTAGTTTTCTTTCACTTCTCGGACTGCTAAAATTAGGGCATTGAAGGTGTACACATCAGCTGGAAGATTTAAGAAAATTCATTTCACAGTGAGCTTGTATTTTACTAACAAGTACATCTTTATATGGGAGTTTATCGCTTATTGCTAACATGGCTCAGTGCTAGGCAAAGTTTTCATGTGAACTTGTTTCCAGGCAGCCAACCACATGTTCGTCACACTGGAAATAAGCAGAGTTCACATTCAGCTCCCATGATCTAGCTGAGGTCTGTACCCCTGCACCAATCATCATTGCCATGGAAGAAGAAATAGCCAAACAAAATTAGAATATTTTACAACATTCCAGAAGAATGGATTTTAAGTAACAGAAGATGCATTACAAACCAATCTGTCAACTATTACAGAAAAACAGGAGACTGAAAGACACTCACCGGTGTGCCTGTCATTCAGCAAGTCTGTGTACATATCATGAGCCCTCTTGCAAGCCCCATGCTGAGAGAAGACAAAAACGTTTTAGAGATACTGACATAGTAAACTGGAAATGAGCCAAACAAAAACGGATATCCTGTGGAGATAACTGTACCTTCACCATTCCTCTGATCATTGTGCAATAGGAGTGTGCATTTCTCTCTGGCATTAGGTTAAATATCCTTTCGGCATTGTTGTTCTCCCTAAACTCAATAAAGAGTAGAACATTAGACAGGAAGTCTAGGAGGAAGAATAAGTAGTTTGTGAACTGTTTTGAATTGGAGAGTTCCATGAAGAATACCCTCAGGAAAGGAATCTAACATACAACATCTGTAGTTTGCTGTATTTTACAGAAGAGTAGGGACTTCTGGGATCCAGGACAAATTCTAATTTGGATAATTCTATTTTACCTAACAAAACTTATCTGGCAGCATCAATTGAAGTTGGTATTATTCTTCACTTCTTGTCATCCATTGAATACCCACTGTGTCCCATACAGAGCTGACAAATGTGATTTCTATTTGTAATTCAACTTCTAAATCTTAAAAATCACGTTGTCTAGGGATATTTTTACGGTGACCAATGCCATGGCAACTGAGCATAAGAACATAAGAATGGCCATACTGGGTCAAACCAATGAGTCCTTCTAGCCCAGTATCCTGTCTGACAGTGGTCAGTTCCAGGTACTTCAAAAGGAATTAACAGAACAGGGAAATTTGGAGTGATCCATCCCGTCATCCAGTCCCAGTTTCTGGCTGTTGGAGGTTTAAGGACACCCAGGGCATGAAGTTGCAACCCTGACTATCTTAGCTTACGCCCATTGATGGACCTATCCTCCATGAACCTATTTAATTCTTTTCTGAACCCAGTTATACTTTTGGCAATCACAACATTCCCTGGCAACAAGTTCCACATGTTGATTGTGTGTTGTGTGAAGAAGTACTTCCTTTTGTTTGTTTTAAACCTCTGCCTATTAATTTAATTGGGTGACCCCAAGTTCTTGTGTTATGTGAAGAGGTAAATAATACTTCCCTATTCACTTTCTCCACACCATTCATGATTTTATAGACCTCTAGCATATCCTCCCCCACCCAGTCATCTCTTTTCTAAGTTGAATAGACCCAGTCTTTTTAATCTCTCCTTGTATGGAAGCTGTTCTATACCCCAATCATTTTTGTTGCACATCTCTGCCCCTTTTCCAATTTTAATATATCTTTTTTGAGATGAGGCAAACAGAGATGCATGCTGTATTCAAGATGTGGGCATACCATGGACGTATACAGTGGCATTATGATATATTTTCTATCTTATTATCTATTCCTTTCCTAATAGTTCCTAACATTCTATATGTTTCTTTGACTGCTGCTGCACATTAAGCAGATGTTTTTAGAGAACTATCCACGATGATGCAGAGATCTCTTTCTTGAGTGGTAACAGCTAGTTTAGACCCCAGCATTTTGTATGTATTGTTTCATTCATTTGTAACTCTTCGCAGTCTGCTTTAGACTTAACCATCTTGAGTAATTTTGTCTCATCTGCAAACTTTGCCATCTCACTGTTTCATAAATGATCTGGGAAAAGGGGTAATGTTGAACCACATAGGGCCCAATACAGATCCTTGGGGGATCCCGCTATTTACCCCTTCCCATTGTGAAAACTGACCATTTATTCCTACCTTTGTTTCCTGTCTTTGAATCAGATACTGATCCATGAGAGGACCTTCCCTCATATCCTATGACTGCTTACTTTGCTTAAGAGCCTTTGGTGTGGGACCTTTTCAAAAGCTTTCTGAAAGTCCAAGTTTACTATATCCACTGGATCATCCTTGTCCTCATGCTTGCTGACTCCTCAAAGAATTCTGATAGATTGGCGAGGCATGATTTCTCTTTACAAAGCCGTGCCGACTCTTCCCAACATATCATGTTAATCTATGTGTTTGAAAATTCTGTTCTTTACTATAGTTTCAACCAATTTGCCTGGTATTGAAGTTAGGCTTACTGGCCTGTAATTGTCAGGATTGCCTCTGGAGCATTTTCTTTTTTTCAATAGACATTACACTAGCTACCTTCCAGTCATCTGGTACAGCGGCTGATTTAAGTGATAGATTACAGACCACAGTTAGTAGTTCTCAAGTTCCTTCAGAACTTTTGGTTGAATACCATCTGGTCCTGGTGACTTCTTACTGTTTATCAATTTGTTCCAAAAGCTTCTCTATTGACACCTCATTCTAGGACAGTTCCTCAGATTTGTCATCTAAAAAGAATGGCTCATTTAGCTTCTCTGCAATGGCCTGGTCTTCCTTGACTGCTCCTTTAGCATCTTGATCATCCAGTGGCCACACTGATTGTTTGGCAGGCTTCCTGCTTCCGATGTACTTAATTTTTTGGCTGTCAGCTTTTGTGTCCTTAGTTAATTGTTCAAATTCTTTCTTAGCCTGCCTTATTCTACTTTTACACATGACTTGCCAGAGTTTATGCTCCTTTCTATTTTTCTCACTAGGCTCTGACTTCCAATTTTTCAAGGATGCCTTTCTGCCTCTAAATGCCTTTTTAATGTGCTGTTTAGCCATGATGGCATTTTTATTGTCCTCTTACTGTTTTTTTGTTTTTAATTTTCTCCTAGTGTTTCAGAAGTCTTCAGGATGACAGATGTAACATGATTGCACTAAACTATTTGCTAGTCACATGTAGGCTTTTCAGCCCATCCTCTCTCAAATGTTGCAGAATATAGACTGTGTATAAGATTTACAAACTACTCAAACCATGTTAAGCCAGAGGTAAAAGGTCAAGCCATTCTTAAATCTCTTACTGGATCTTGATTACCACTCTAGAAAAAGTACAGTAGAACCTCAGAGTTACAAATACCTCAGGAGTGGAGGTCGTTCATAACTCTGAACAAAACTTTATGGTTGTTCTTTCAAAAGTTTACATCTGAATATTGACTTAATACAATTTTGAAACTTTACTATGCAGAAAAAAAATGCTGCTTTCCCTTTATTTTTTAGTAGTTTACATTTAACACGGTATTGTACTGTATTTCCTTTTTTTATTTTGGTCTCTGTGGCTGTCTGATTGCATACTTCCAGTTCCAAATGAGGTGTGTGGTTGACTAGTCAAGTCGTAACTCTGGTGTTCGTAACTCTGAGGTTCTACTGTATATCTTAAATACATCAACATATGGTATAAAGAAGTGTCAGCTGCAGATATGTTAATAGGTCTTTACAAACACAACAGAAAGAAACGGCAATCTTAGAGCAACACAAGATTCACATCCACATGACATTTAATAAAACATCAAGAGATTGCAGGAACACCTTCTATACATACCTCCACTTAGGGCCAATGAAGTCTGAGGTCTTCCGTGAACGCCCCCTCCGTTTCCTCTGATCTGGAGCTTCCTCCTGAAAAGATTTTTGCCATAAACAACATTTGCAATGAATAAAATATCAACCTTTTATTACAAGTCTAGCAAGTGATACCTAGAATTAAATAGGCTAAAGACAGCTCCAACTAAACAAAATTTATACATTGCAAAAGAAGTCTAGTGATTCCCTGCCTTCCCCCCAATCACCAGTGGGGCCACGTACAGTGTAGACATTGCTTGCAGGTGAAACCGTATTCCTTCACCCTGCCTCCCAATCTACAATAGACAAGTGAATATAAACTGCAAGTGAACTCATGCATGGCACATAAAAAGAAGAGGAACATTAGACTCCTCTCACTATGTATAAATCACAATTGATTTGTCTGCCTTGAGATGATAAGGAAGCCAGTTTACATCACCTTGTTTGGTGCTTTAAAAAAAAAAAAAAAATCTGGATTTTAATATAGATTTTCTCTCTCTCATATTATGTGTGTGTGTGTGTGTGTGTTGGTTTATAAGAGAAGTATGTGTGTTGGTCTCCAAAATCAAATGCATCAAGATGGGTTTCATTTATTAATGGGACACAATCAGGTCAGAAATGACATTTCTGTCTGAAAGTGTTTGCTGCTGTCATTAATCGTTACCTCAAAGTACAAAAAAAGTAAATATTAAATGAGAGTGTATTTCAATTACTTGCTTATTCCTGGTCACCCTTCAGAGCTAGATTCACCCTGTTGCCCGCCCTAGGCATAGACTAGAAATGTTGTCCCCATTGCCCACTTCATCTAAAAGCAAAAGACACCTGTCTCTATGCTCTGTATGCTAACCAGAGTACAGGAGAGGAGTTCACCCAGTCAGAAATCTTTGAGTATGTGGGAGAGCGAAATGGGCAGTGAGCTGGAACCAGAGTGGTGGAACGAGAGAGTAAGGAAGGAGGAAGATGGGTACTGAGAGGGAACAGTATCAAGACACACTCTCCTTTCCTTACCACAGGGCCAAGGAGAGAGCAGCAGCACTCATGTGGGATAAACAATTGCTTGTTCCTGGTCAGCAGGCCTTGGCATCAGTCCTATCAGTATGCTGGCTGCACATTAGGACCTTAGATGCCAGCCATGGCTGAAGCCTTACCAGCATGTCAGGGCTTTATCATGGTTCTTGGCATCCAATTCTCTGATCTGTGAAAGCAGAGATCCCACCCAGAGAAGTACGCTAAGTCAACCCTTGCCACAGGCTAGCCCCGCTTTGTAGGATATCACTTTTTTTAATTATAAAAATACGGCGGTCGGAAAAAAAAAAAAGTTATACACCTTCACTACCACACTGGTCAACAACTGTTTAAGCATGGTTCTTGCCCGCAAGGTTTCAGCTAAGTCTGAACAGCTTTTAAAAGTAGGCCACTTTGGTCAGTTCACAAGATTTAACTGCAATAAAATATTCCAAGTGGATACAGGCATCATGCCTCTCCAGGCACCCAAGGTGTGAGGATGTTCTTGCCATCACATGTGCTCTCCTACTATTTAAGCAAAAAGTTAATTAAACAGCCTCTTTACAGTTTTTTGTACCTCTGATTCTTTCAGCTCCTCCTTTTGTTCAGACTGATCTTCCCTAGTAGGCTCTCTGTCTCCATAGAAACATAATAGATCCAGAAGACGGTTTGATGTCTCCAGAGATAAAGGGGTTCCTGCAGGCAATGAGGAAGCAGAATTATGAAACATAAAGGATACATTGTTTATTCAACACTCATGAAATGGGGCTCTTCATTGACACCAAAACGTGTCACAGCATGCAGAATTTCCAGAAAGCAACTTTATATGAACAAAGATGGGTTCGAAAGCAACACTCCCAAAATCACACATCCAGCTTACACAGTCATTTCAGAATGGGGTGACCAGAGAATGGCATTTTAGTACCCGTAAAAAATGTCTGCCTTCTTGGCTGTAACACTGATGCCACTGCTGGCTATCCAGAGCATGGACAAGAGGTAGAGCTTTGCTGACCAGGTATTGGCTGGTGTGGGGGTGACAGATAGTGGCCAAGAGTGAAAGCGCTTCAATACCAGTATAACCCAACTAAAACATCATAAGCTTTCGGTAAGGGCTCCTATGCTCTACCCTGTCAGAAAAGCTAGTGAGTGACAACCTGTTCTAGGACAGCAAACCACCTCTCCTATCAAAAACATTTAATCCCAACAAGCTTTAAATTAATGTAATGGAATCCTCTTCTCTCCATTTGTTAGGGCAAGGCCTTCTCAGCTCCCATCACCCCATATTTCTTTTTAGCTCTTCACTCAAAAGGCCTTGCATTCCAAGGTCTTTCCTGCTTCTTGACAGACATATGGCCCAGATTAACTAGAGTGGTAAAAGAAAGAGCCTATCTTGGAACCTCCTCCCTCTTGACACCCTTATCTCCCACTGATGAGCTAGCAAAGTGTAGCATTCATGAGACTACTAAGAATGTCTCAGTAAACAAGTGACAGCTGATGAGAGCCCAAGATTTAAGAACCAGTTCCCAAGAATACAAATCAGTTCTGCAACTCTGTACTTTAACATTAAACCAGCTTCACCCTACGTCTAGGTCTCCATACACACAATCTGGCTGACAAATTCAGTTCTGTAGCTTAAGGTGGTACCTGCTTGCAGGAGCTGATCAAACATGTCCACAGAAGCTTTTACTCTTCTAAGCTGGATACGTTCTTTAAGAGCTGCCTCACTCACTTCTTCAATCTGAGGTGCAAGATTCTCTGGCATCAGGCACTAAAATTAAAGAGCACATAGGCTGAATGGATGCTCTACTCACGGGGGAATTCTGTACTACTGTGTACGTGGAGAATTCACGCCTCCCACAGAATTTTTTTTCTACCAGAAAATACATTCTGCAGTTACGCCTTTTGCCCACTAGGGGCTTCTGTGGCACCAGAACAGAGGGCAGCAGTTCCCAAGCGGGAGCAGCCAGCTACAGATAGGGAGGAGAAAAGACTGCATTCCTCACAGTTCCCTGCCCATGGAACCAGATGAGGAGGGCATGGGATATGGGGGGAGGATGGACAGCGTGGGGCACCTGGGGGGATCACAGACTGGGGCTCAGAAGGGCTAGTGGAGTGCACAGAGACACATGGGGACAGGGAGGGAGGTGCAGGGACACATGGGGATGGAGGGAGGAGGGGTGGCTGAGTGAGGGTGAAGGGCCACATGGGGATGGGGATAGATGTACCTGACAGAGAGGCTAGGGGTCAGCTAAGGTCTGCATGGGGAAGACTCCCCAACAATCACCCCGCCCACCCACCCCCCTCAAAAAAAAAAAAAAAAAAAAAAAAAAACCCCAAAACACAAAAAAACCAAATTAGTTCCACATCTCTCCCACCCACACCGAACAACCCTCCAGGTTCACTCCCTGGCTCCTTCCCAGCAATTACTTCCCTTCTCCCTCAGCTACTCCATTTCCTGACTCCCCCAAGCCTTTGCACTTCTTCTGAGGGGTGCAGGAAATTAGATTCTGTATTGTAGTTTAAATGAATTATTACTCAAAGTTCTGTATTAATATGCCTAGTAAGGAATCTATTTGTCAAAAAACATTTCCTGAATATTTTTTTGGTATCTGTATTATTACCAATATACTTGCTGACAGGAATTTTGAAATAAATTATGAAAATATTTGAAACTGGGGTGATGATATTGTGTTATTTTGACAAATAAAATATTCAGAATTTTAAAATATTGTGTGCAGAATTTTAATTTTTTGGTGCAGAATTCCCCCAGGAATAATGCTCAAACCGTCTAATAGCCAGGACACCAACTGAAACGTATTACCCATCCTAAAAGCCATTATGGCTCCTCCATCTTCCCCGCCCACACAAAATGTAATAATAGAAGTGACTGTAGCACGAATAATTTTCTGGGGATTAGGGACTGCATTTCCTAAGTGGCCAGTCACTTACAAACTGGACCATCAACACTAAAATCATTAGAATTAAAATCAAACTAGAGCTATAAAAATTAACTAGATCTATTCACTCCTTACTTCTGCCTGAAAAGCCTTGACTGACTTTAATCACAAATGTTATCTGAGGTCTTAAGAGATGTTCCCTTTGGTAAACTCAAATTGAAATGTAGCTTATGTAAACAAGAGAACACTCAGTTATTTAGTGGTAAGTCATAAGCTTTTGTCATTTTTAGACTAATTTTTGGGCCCAGTCCTATAATCCTTACACAAACAGTTCTACTGCCCATATTGCTACATAGCAAAAGTAGAGATAGCATGACCACAAGAGCAGAGCGTTTACCGGTATATGAGGCTCCGCAATGTCCTTCTCAAAGAATTGAGGGAATTCGTTAACAATGTATTTTGCAGCATTTTTCCCAGACTCCTTGGACAACGAAAGTGAACGCTGTATAGGAAGGAAAGGGGATACGTTTGTTTCTTTACAATACCTAAACGGTTGAGTGATAAAGAGAATAACCTTCTAGAACTATGAATCCTTGGAGGGATCAAGTACCTCATGCCTCCCCCAGAGCATGAACACTTCTTAAGGACAGGAGAACACTCCTTTACTATCTCACTATCTCAGCTGCTAAGCCCATTCCCCCCCGCCCCCCCAAATCTCACATTGACTACAGCAGCCTTCTCCCCTCTGACTTCACCTCTCCAATCTTCACTCTCAAATCACATCAGTCCCTATCCTAATCTTTATAGGATTCCAGTCACATCAAATTCAAGCTCCTTGGCTTCACTTTCAAGGTCTCATTTAATTTTGCTCCCACCTATGTTCCTTCTACTTGCCTTCCCTTTTATTGCACTCCTTCCAATTCTGTCACTCCCTGCTCTTGACTTTATGCCTTCTATCTGCTGCCCTCCATGCTGGAGATAACCCAGCTGCTGCTCTGCAAGTACCTTCTCGCTCTTTCAAAGATTCCTTCCTCTCAACACTGTTCTTTCCACACACTCCATTATACTATGGCTGTTCTGTGTAAGACTGTAAGCTCTTACAAGTTGGGACAATTAGTTTCTTATGGTATATAGAGCAACACCTACATTTACAATTCTGTACAGATATTTTAGCTCACTTTTTTTTTTAATTTTACTAAATTGCAAGTTTATACTGTATTGCAAGAATCCGCTCTAGAGACAGTATTTAAACTCAGTAACCATTACACATAAACACAATCTGTGCAAAGGCTTGTATTCCTCAACGAAAGCCGCATATCAGCAAAGAGCCTGGCAGTGCAGGCCAGTGGATAAGGCATTAGATCGAAGAAACAGTAGCAGTTCTGAAAGTGGAAAGGGAGCAGGCAGCCAAGTGCCTAGAGGGGGGGTCTGAGCCTGTTTGGTGGTGTTGCCCCTGAGCCTGCCCAGAAGAACCTTATAAGCAATAGGAGACCAAAAATACTGAAAGAAAAAATATTCTGAACACGTTTAAAGAATGATCAGAAACTTTATTTTCTTTTTCAATTAAAAAAACCCCAAGCTGCCAACTGTTCCCTTAATACCTGGGGGTAGAGGTCGTCAAAGTTTCAAAATGGAATACTTACAGCCTCAAAATAGTTTCTAGGGATAAGGAAGGGGTCATCTTGAAACATATAATGTGCAGCTGTAGGATCCTGCAGAAAGGAAAAGGCAGAATTTAAAAAGTTTTAGACAGGTGTATTGTAGATATATCTTATTTCATCTCTGAAATTAAGGGACTGTCAGCAGGTCTAGTGCAACCACCTCTCTACCCCATTTTAAAGAGGAATATATTTATGTAGCAAAAAAATCACTAGTTTGAAATGTAGCCATGTGTTGGTTTGGGAATAAATGATTAAACAGTTGTTCAGAGGTACGTAATAGGTATACATAGATTATTAATACAGTGATCACATTAGATGGGGACCTAAATAACTAAGATACTAAGGGCATCCTGCAAAGCAGCAAGTGCCTTAATTGCCACAGAAATGAATGGGACCCAAGGGCTCTTAACACCTTGCCGGGTTGGGCTATTAATTCCAGGAATCAACAAACACTAACTTCTCTAGGACTCTATGTTCCTGTGACTCTCAGAATCTTGCTTTAGAAGATTTCTGGTCTTTAATCTATAATGATTTTTAAACAGGCTCATTTGGCACAGTCGTTAGAGTGAAAACCAAGGGCCTGATTCTCTGCTACCAGCACCTTGCATAATGAATGTAAAACTTTACCAAATCAGATGCTGGCATTTTAAATACGCTTCGCACTCACACTGCACGGATGAAAATGGCTGCACACTGTGCATGGCAACCGAGAATTAGGCTCTTATGGTCCACAGTGCATGCACAATATGTCCCCCATTCTTTAACAGTTCAAAACTGGTCTGACACATTATCTTAGTATACTGCAGAGCAACAGCTACAGACAGTTTATTCATATAAGACTCAAGGTGCTGAATGATGCAGCAAGTTTGTGTTCAGATGGCAATTAGGATCCCATTTTTCACTTATGATCGTGGCAGGTATATGAAAGGTCTCCAGAATGCAAGTCTAGTGTATTAAAAAGCAGCACTACACAGTTCCACAAGATTGATTATAACCTTAGAAGGTACTTACCCTGTTTACTGTAGATGCAAGAGTTTGAAGAACTGCTAGTTTATCCCTAAATTTAAGAAACTTACATTAATAGTGTGCAACAGGCTTTCAACATCAATTCATATCATGTATTAACTTTTTGTCCTGTACTAGATGAATTGGGAGTCTCAGAGAATCAGGATTTTAAGAAAAATTGCACTGTCAAGTATAATGATGCTCTAAATATTCTAATCCTATTTAAAATACATCATTTTCTCTTGGGACATGGAAGGAAGGAGGAGAACAAAAGCTTGACTGATGAAGTGGAGTTGAACCACTTAATTTAATACCCTATTATATATTTACTTAATTAGTATGAAATCATTGCAGCTAACACAATTAAGACTTTATAAAAACGGAGTCTGCATATGTATTTTCACCCCCCTCATGCCACACGCACTAGCTGGGAGAGAACTGGGGGGAGATGGGAAAGGGAGAGAATGTTATCTCTGAAAGCCTCAAATGACAGAAACCAATTCTTGCACTGACTGAGGGCTGGATGTAGTATCCTATTCTGTAACTCTTGGGCTGATTGAAAGAAATGTAGTTGACAGTGCCAAGAGCTGCTCCTTTCCATAATGCTCCCAGGCCTTGCAAATTCAAGGATCCAAACTCAAATGCTTCACAGGTAGCATGCTGAACTGACATTCAATTGCTAAGCAAACCCATCCATATTGGTTTGCCTCCAATATCTCACTTCTAGATCTACAGTATAACTAGTAAGGCTCACTCTGCACTCGAGCCAGCTCCCCTCCATGGATCAACTAGCAACGATAAGAATGGAGTGGGGTACACCCAATACCATATCTTCAGCACCCCCTCCACAATAATCCATTCTCCAAGATTTTAGAAATACAAGCTTCCTCCTGCTTTTATTTCATCTGCTCCAGTTATGCAAAAGTTTATTTTAGCTATTTTGAAATGTGTCTCAACATAAGCAATATCCCCAAAAATCAGTAAGATTTGGTTGGCTAGTAAACGTGGTCTTTAAAGTGGTCTCTTAAAGAAAAGTTAGGGATGGCTTCCTAGAGACAGAGCCCTTCATTCAATTTCCCCATTGACTTTCTCCCTCACTCCACAATACACAAAACTGAAATTTATTTACTGTTAGCATACACAAAAGTGTAGAGGGCAGATGTCAGGAAAACTCTGAGGGCCCCAACTGGGAGGGAGAAAAGCAAGAGATGAGATATTAACACTCACCAAGTTTTCTTTCTTGGAACAACAATTTCTTCTTCAGTAACTTTAAGAAGAAATATTGATCATAATACTGTTAGAACAGATATATGAGACTGGCATTTCTGCAACTACAACCAAACTCTTGATTATTCTAAGCTGCTAAAAGTCAAAAATAGCAGTCCTGATTTTTAAGATTATTCTGAACGTAATAAGTTTTAAATTCCTCTTTAGGTGCCTTGTTTATTTTAACTACATAACAGAGTACATTTTGCAGAGCTGAAAAAATGAACTATATAATTAAGATACTGTACCTCCTGGGTCAGCTTCAGTCTTCTGAAGTGATGCACTTCCTGAACAATGCCTACAGACACCAAACATGGCCATGAGGGTTTTGAGTATCAGCATACACATTAATATGTATTGCAAAAATGGATTTGCAGAATTCTGGACTGCAAGCAACTAGACCATTAACAAATGCAGGTCACTGACAATCCTACACAGTATTGCCAACTCTGGGGTTTTATCACAAGCCTCGTGATATATGTTGTTTTTCTTAAAGCCCCAGGTCCTGGAATCAGGTGATCACAAGAGAACCTCTAGCCAAGTTTCTAAAGAAAAGCTTGAAAATGTGAACTCTAAAGGTTCCAAAAACAGAAGGCAAATTTAAAAAATAAATTCGCAGGATTTTGCCCCTCCCCTCCCCTCCCCTCCATGTTTTTGAATACTTGCACTACATGCACAAACACAAAGCTTTGTGTTGGAAGCTGGAACTAGGCTGAATGCTTATATAGATCAAGTCTCTTTCAAAGAGCTCACAGAATGTAGATGGACTCAGAAATGAGTGTACATCACCTCTATGTACTGTGCAGCCTACAGATAGGGAGCCATTTTGCGCTGAATTTAAATGTGGTTTGCTCTCTAGAGCACATAGAGAATGCCCTTTAACGCACGCCTCTCTTTTGTTCACTTTGGTATTCATATCAATCTAAATTAAGAGTAATTTGTACTGAAATCTATTTGCTCCTATGGAACAAACAGGCTTAAACTTTGTATTAGCCTGTGCCCCCAAACTTTGCTACAGCTCTGGGGCTGGTGTACACTACAAGACTAAACATTGGCCCTGAGCCTGTGCAAAGCATGAACCTACATGTACCTCACTGCAGGACCAGAGATTTGTGTTTCAACTGTGTTGTGGGACAACCAACCAAGTGATCGTTTTGTAACCAGGTCTCTCAACACTGCTGTTAAAAAACCCGCCACAATATAGCTTTTTTCCTTTCCCCATCTCTCTTGTCTGTTAGACTGTAACTAAAGTCTCTGGGGTAGTGAGTGTAACAACAGTACAAACCGGAACAGGGGCCATTTAAAAATAAATCAGCAACTGGCTGGCTCCCGAGAACCGCTATTGAAAATCGTGTCAGTATCAGAGGGGTAGCCGTGTTAGTCTGAATCTGTAAAAAGCAACAGAGGGTCCTGTGGCACCTTTAAGACTAACAGAAGTATTGGGAGCATAAGCTTTTGTGGGTAAGAACCTCACTTCTTCTTGCATCTGAAGAAGTGAGGATCTTACCCACGAAAGCTTATGCTCCCAATACTTCTGTTAGTCTTAAAGGTGCCACAGGACCCTCTGTTGCTTTTTATTGAAAACCGTCTACGTGCTAAGGCAGCCAGGGCAGACCCCTCCCCGGGCAGCTGAACCCCCCACGCAAATGGAGGCAGACCCCCTGCAATCTAGGGAAGGGCGGACAATCGTCTGCGCTAACGGCCTTTAGCCGGACCCCAACAGACAATTTAACCTCAACAGGGTCCTAAAGCCAGTCCCAATAACCCCACCCACTGCAGGGCAGCCGCACCCCCACAACGGCCACTGCGCACGCGCAGTTTCCCTATCCGTTCCGGGAGCACAGGCATGAATTCCACACGGCTAGAACGCACCGCGAAGGGCGATTCCACTGCGCAGGCGCAGCGCTCACTAGCTCTAAGTGCGCAGGCGCTGGCCTCATCTCCTCAGCACCTTGCCTGCCCACCCGCGCTACCGGCTCGTTCAGCCCAATGCAAGCGGAGCTGCTCTCCAGCCCGCCCCCCGCTCCTACCTGCTGCCCTCTCCCTTCCCCGCGCCAGGCAGCCGTACGCTGCAGCGTCCGCTCAATAGTATCACTTGCTGCCACGAGCCGTGCCGCAACCATCGTCCCGCCATCCTAGCGGCCCGCCCGGTGGATGCCGGGAAGCAGGGGCGGTACCATTTGCTTCTGGGAGGAGGAGGGAGGCGGGAGAGACCCTTCTCCAGGAAGTGGAGTTGGTATCGTCCAGTGACGGCCCCTCCCCCGGAGTGCGGGCACGCCGTTGGGGGCCGCGTGGTGCTCGTGGCGTAGTGGCTCTCTGTTGAGGGAGTCTCTGGTGCTGGAGCGGGAGGAGGGAGCGGCTTGAGCGCTCACCATGGGGCCGCCCAGAGAGGTGCCGTGGCGGCGGCTGACCGGTATTGCCTTCGGGATGTACACGGCCGAGGAGATCAGGTAAGGACCGGAGCCTGGAGAGCCCCCGCGGGAACTACCACTCCCAGCATGCCTTGCGCCGCCAAGCCGCCAGAACCCCATGGACTCTTGGCGCATGTCATGCTGGGGCATGTAGTCCCTGTGTGGGAGCTCGTCCGTTGTGCTGGGGTCTCAGCTCAGCGTGGCGGGGGGGAGGGTGTAAGGGGGTCTCACCCCCTGGTCTGCAGGGAGCCGTGCCGGCGCCCTTCTACCTGCCCCCCTCTTGGAGCCCAGCGCAGCATGGGTGCGGGAGATTGGAGAAGGGGCTGGGGCAGCCCAGGTCGGAGGGAGGTGGGTGAATCATAGAATATCAGGGTTGGAAGGGACCTCAGGAGGTCATCTAGTCCAACCCCCTGCTCAAAGCAGGAACAATCCCCAGACAGATTTTTTCCCCAGATCCCTAAATGGCCCCCTCAAGGGTTGAACTCTCAACCCTGGACCAGATGAGGCTGGGGGGCAAAGAGGCTGCCAACCTGGAAGAGGGAGGGTGGGTGGAGACGGGAAGGGGTGTCCTATGCCGTAGAATGGGAGCTAAAGTGGAGAGGAGAACCCCAGCCTGGGTGGGAGTGGGGCGGAGGAGGTGGCCCTCCGCTGTTGTGAAAGGGAGAAGAGGACCTGGTGTGTGCTCCCAGGAGGGAGGGTACTTCAGCCAACTGAGGAGGGAGAGCTGCTGTCATGTACTGCCGGGGAGCAGACCTGTAGTTATTAAAGATGGTACTTTCGGTAAGAATAGGAGTACTCCCTTGGGTGTCGTGACTAGCTTTCCTGACATCCCTGCCACTGTTGGTGGGGCAGTGGTTGGAACCTTTAAGGAAAAATTTTATGTAGATATGGCCCTGTAACTGGATATACAGATTTCAGAGGGGTAGCCGTGTTAGTCTGTATCAGTAAAAACAAGGAGGAGTCCTTGTGGCACCTTAGAGATTAACAAATTTATTTGTGCATAAGCTTTCGTGGGATATAACCCACTTCATCAGATGCATGGAGTGAAAAATACAGTAAGCAGGTCTAAATATACAGCACATGAAAAGATGAGAGTTGCCTTACCAAGTGGGGGGGGGTCAGTGCTAACGAGGCTAATTCAGTTAGGGTGGATGTGGCCCATTCCCAACAGTTGACAAGAAGGGGTGAATATCAACGGAGGGAAAATTACTTTTTGTAGTGCTAATGAGGCCAATTCAATCAAAGAGGATGTGGCCCATTCCTAGCAGTTGACAAGAAGGTATGAGTATCAACAGAGGGAAAATTATTTTTTGTAGTGACCCAGCTACTCCCAGTCTTTATTCAGGCCGAATTTGATGGTGTCAAGTTTGCAAATTAATTCCAGTTCTGCAGCTTCTCGTTGAAGTCTGTTTTTGAAGTTTTTGTTGTTAAAGAATGGTGACTTTTAAGTCTGTTATTTATCAGAGGGGTAGCCATGTTAGTCTGGATCTGTAAAAAGCAACAGAGAGTCCTGTGGCACCTTTAAGACTAACAGATGTATTGGAGCATAAGCTTTCGTGGGTGAATGCCCACTTTGTCGGATGCTATTGAGTGTCCAGGGAGATTGAAGTGCTCTCCTACTGGTTTTTGAATGTTACAATTCTTGAGGTCTGATGTGTCCATTTATTCTTCTGCGTAGAGACTGTCCAGTTTGGCCAATGTATATGGCAAAGGGGCATTGCTGGCACATGATGGCATATATCACATTGGTAGATGTGCAGATGAACGAGCTGTTGATGGTGTGGCTGATGTGGTTGGGTCATATGAAAGTGTGACTGGAATAGATATGTGGACAGAGTTGGCAATGGGGTTTATTGCAGGGCTTGGTTCCTGGGTTGGTGTTTCTGTGGTGTGGTGTGTAGTTGCTGGTGAGTATTTGCTTCAGGTTGGGGGGCTGTCTATAAGCGAGGACTGTCCTGTCTCCCAAGGTCTGTGAGAGTGGGGGATCATCCTTCAGGATAGGTTGTAGATCCTTGATGATGTGCTGGAGAGGTTTTAGTTGGGGGCTGTAGGTGATGGCTAGTGGCATTCTGTTACTTTCTTTGTTCTCTGTAGTAGGTACTCTCACCTTCTTGTCACCATCTTATACCTGCTTACTGTATTTTCTACTCCATGCATCTGATGAAGTGGGTTATAACCCACAAAAGCTTATGCCCAAAGAAATTGGTTAGTCTCTAAGGTGCCACAAGGGCTCCTCATATTTTTTGGGGGTATACAGAGGAAACAAGTGAAACTGAGTATACACAAAGTGCTAGCAAATGAAAAAAATAAACGGGGAGGAAGAAGATGTGATCCTTTTCCCTAACTTTTTTGCTGTTACTTGTAACACCCAAGCATATACAAAGTTAACAATATCTGCCATCATACATGTAACTTTTTGTTTTTCTTTCATCTTTAGGAAACTAAGTGTAAAAGCCATAACCAACCCTCGTTACCTAGATAACGTGGGCAACCCAGCAGTAAATGGACTGTATGATTTGTCTTTGGGACCACCTGATGCCAAAGAAGTGTGTACTACTTGTATGCAGGACTTCAACAACTGCCCAGGACACCTAGGCCACATAGATCTGCCACTGACTGTTTACAATCCTCTATTTTTTGATGTACGTATATGCTGTTGAGAATTTGTTAATGTTGTAGACTAGTCTTCACTGGCTAGTAGTCTAGGTTCTTTCATAGCTAGTGATTTTTGAAGAATATTAAGGATTCAGTAGGTAGTGATACAGGGAAATCCTCGTCTGGTGAAGTGTCTTCTATCAAAAGGACTTAATTTTAAACATATTCACTGTAATAGTCAAATGATTCCTCTCTCCCTTTCCCACTTGCTATTGCCATGCGTTCACTTACAGTGAGAAACATCTGTAGTAAGACTAGCCAAACTTTTTTTCACCTAATAGAAGAAATTGTAATAAAATGAGGAGCCAAGGGTCACACCCTACCTTGTAGTAGAAATGTCTGCACCCGCCCTCCTTGCTTAGCCAGAGAACAGGTAGAGAAGATTAGTATAGTAGAACTAATTTATGGTGGAATGAAATTTCAGCATAAGCGGAGTGAGGTTTCACTATAAGAGGAGTGAAAGTCCATTGAAATGTACTTAAACCATTCAGACTTTCACTCCAGTTCACTGTAACAAATTCACTGCAAGCAGATGCCATTTTATTTATGAGTAAGGCTAAGATTGTCATGGGTATTTTTAGTAAAAGTCATGGGCAATAAACAAAAATTCACAGCCCCGTGATCTGTCCATGACTTGAACTATATACCCCTGATAAAATCTGGAGGGCTCCGGGGATGCTCGCAAGGGTGGGGGGTGGGGCGCTCTGGGGCATGTGCTGGAGGATGGGGGGCTCTGGGGTGCTCCGGGGGTGGGGTGGGGGACAGACTGCGGGGTGGTTGCTGGTTCTCCAGGGTGGAGGGACTCCAGGGCACCTGCTGGTGCTCCGGGCGGTGCCGGGAGAGGGACGGGACTCCGGGGCTCCCACTGGTGTTCCGGTGGGGAGGGACGGGACTCTGGGGCGCCCGCTGGTGCTCAGGTGGGACGGGAGGAGGAGGGGGGTTTGGGCAGCCCTGAGGTCAGTTGCACTTGCTGGCTGCAGAAGCCATGGAGGTCCTGGAAAGTCGCAGAATCCATGACTTCTGTGACCTCCGTGACAGTCTCGCAGCCTTATTTATGAGGTATTGAGAACGTAATACTTGAATGGTGCCATTTAGTGTAAGATGTGCCTTGGTTAAACACAAATTGATGATTGAAACAAATTAGTAATAATACTTCAGTTTAGCATTTAATTTATATTGCTTATTATCCAAAGATCTCAAAGGACTTTACAGACACTAAGGGCTCGTCTACACTTGGAAATTTATTTAAATAGGTATTGTGGAGTAAGAGTAATCACACAGGGGCTGATACCAAATCACTAGTCCAAAATTCTGGAATAGGTGTTTAGGTAAATATCCAAGTGAAGGAAAGCCCTAAGAGCTACATCCTGCAATATTCTGAGTGCCTGAGAAGAGATGCTGAACTCCTGTTGATTTCAGTAGTGCTTGATGGCACTCCATGCGTGCCTGATCCTGGGAAGTGCTGTCCATGCCCGAAGTCTCACATCTCTAACATGCTGCAGCTAATTCAAAATCAGTGGGTGGCTATTTTCCCCAGACTAATTTTTATAAATATTAAAAGGTCCTTCACTTTGAGCCTCACCAGCTGTTTTGAAGCAGGATGCTACCTCTTGATGCCTCTTTCTCCTTGATCGGGGCATAGAGTCTCAGATGCCATGGCGAGGGGTATGGTATATGAACCTGAATAGAAATAAAATGAAACAGTTCTGCTGCTGTCCGGGATGTGGAGGGAGAAGCTGGCTCTTATGGGTGGGCTCAGGGCCTCAAGGAAACACTTCACTGTTTGAAAGCATTGGAAGCTAGAGACTTTCTGTATTGCTGACAAGTAACTTCAGTCTTCCAAATAACACTGGCATTTTCCTTAAAACGAGTCAGCTTCCCTCCAGTAGTTCTATTTTCCACACCATTAAATCTACCAGACTAATTTTTGTTTTCTTTTCAGAAATTATACCTTCTGATCCGAGGTTCTTGTTTAAACTGCCACTTGCTGACCTGTACTCGAGCTGTGGTTCACCTATTGCTTAGCCAGCTGAAGGTCTTGGAGAAGGGGTTGCTTCATGCGGTCTGTGATCTTGAG